CAAGTCAGATCTGGTCCCTCTTCTGCTCAGAGCCCCGCAGTGCCTCTCCTGTCACACTCCAGATAAAAGCCAGAGTTCCCACAGTGACCAGTGACCCTTCCCCAGGCTCCTGAACTCTCCCACTGCACCTGCTCACTTCATTCGCGTGCTGGCTTTGCAGCAGCTGGCAGACTCTGCTGGGGCACCTGCATTTGTTCTTCCTCTGCCCAGAATGCCATCCCCCCACCTGTCCTCATAGCTGTCCTTGCTTCTGCTACATCTCTGCTCACCTGTCAGCTCCACGAGGCCCTACTGCCTGTCTCCTTCGCCTTTGCATCTACGCATGTGTAACACACGACATCTTCTGTTTGCTTATCCCTCTCATTGGCTCTCAGCATTAGGATGGAGATTCCGAGAAGGCAACTTGACTCCATTCACTGCTGTACCCCCAGCAAGTAGAACAGCGTGGAGCTTATCACAGTTACTCAGTAAATGATTGTTGAATTAATAAGTGAGTGGGGATTCAGTCTTCCCTTGAGGAGCTTATAGTTCGCCAAGGAGGCAAACCAGTTTGTGAATACAAAATGTAATTTTCTTTTTTTCTTTTCCTTTTTAGTTTCTGCTATTGGGCTTTTGGGTTCTCTGACAGAGAATGAGAAACCACTCTCCCCAGGGGTTAGCCATGCTGCAGTCTCTTCCCCATTCTTCTCTTGGGATTTTGGGCATGTACGCATATGTGCCCAGAGTGATTTTCAAGCCACTAGGTCTGGGACTCGAACTGTAGGGTTGGATGTGTGGAATCCAGCTGCTTTTGTTTTCTTTGAGAGAGATTTTTGCTATAGGGTGCATGCATTTGCTGGAGAGACAGAGACAGGAAATGAGAAATCACACCCACCCTGGGGAGAATGGCCATACCACAATCCCTTCTCCGTTCTCCTCTCAGGATTTTGGGCACACATGCACACACACCTGGTGTGAGTTTTAAGCCACCAGATCCAAAACTCAAACCGTGGTTGACCACATGTAAGTTCAGCACCTTAACCACTACACCACCTCCTGGCTCCTCTCCATCACATTTTAAGTAACTGTGTCTTAAAACAGCATTGAAAAATCACCTACAAACTCAATAGAGATAGTGCATTTTCTGTTTTTGCTTTTCCGCTTAGTGTACCGTGGGTGTGTGGTTGGGCTGCAGGGGACACTTATAGCTATGCAGTAGCCATGGGCATCTACTTTCCTTCTCTTGAGACCTGTTCTTAAGTAGCTTCCACCCTGCTGAAGTGGACACATGAGCCTCGTGTCGTAGGCATTGACTCCAGAGATGGAGCTTGGCCAACCAAGGACTCTCCATCCAGTGTTCTTTTCTCTGCCTTGCGTTTCACTCATGAGCTCCTCGGTGAGCCAAGCCACGTCTTAGACAGCCTTTGGGGGTCCCCTACCCTGTTACCCCTGCCCTCACAAGCAGAACCCATTAGGCTAGGATGCCCAGTAGGTTTTAGATGAAATAGAGCCTGCTTAAGGTCAGAGTTGAGGGAGAGGCGCACAGCACCAAGCATCCATATGCCAAAGTACATGAAGCACAGGCTTCTTCCAGCATCTGGCTTATGCCAGAGAAAGCTGTGAGCTTTCTTTCTGGTTGGTGGTGGTCTGTGGTTCCACTAGGAAAGGCCCCTCCTGCTTTCCTGGGGCTGCCGCCCCTCACTGGGCATTGTGCTAGGGAAATGATCAAGGCCCTGGAAACTGTTGGGAGTGAGTTTGCAGCACTTTGGAGGCCGTCGGCATGGCAAGTCTTCTGGAGGGCCCTGACTCTGCTCTCTGCTCCCATCCCTGCCCAGCTCCCCCTCCGGGGCTTCGCGGGACACTGGATCTCCAGGTTATCCGTGTGCGGATGGAGGAGCCCCCAGCTGTCAGCCTCCTGCAAGACTGGTCCAAGCACCCCCAGAGCACGAAGGGCGTGGGAGCAGGTGACACCCCAGGCTGGCCTGCAGTTTTGTCGGAATCCAGCACCACGGTTGTAGGGGAGCCAGAGGCAGGGAGTGGGGTGTAAGTTCTTGCTTTCCTGGGGAAGGAGGGCGGGTGGGAGGAAGAAGGCAGCGTTCCCCCTTGGCTTATAACTCAGAGCTACCCTGCTCGGCCACCTGTTGGAGAGTGAAATCAGGTGCCAGGGCAGGATGGAGAGCTGGCTGGAGCAGCGTCTGCTCTTACTTTGGGACATGGAAAATGTCTGCCCCGGCCAGGCCTGTGGTGGGGCCCTGAGGTAGGCAGGGGTGGCCGAGGCTGTTGCGCAGTAGGGCATTGGGCCTGTGGAGAACACCTACCCCAATCCTTTGCTGACCCACACCTCTATTTGTCCCCACACCTCCTCACACCCTCTCAGCTCCCCACCATTCTCCCTTGGCACAGTGCCTTACACAGAGGTGGTCATGGCGGGGTTTGAACTGAGTCCCACTACCTCGGGGAACACCTCTCCTCCCCCACTTGTTCAGGCTCCTCAACTAGGAAGCCTCCATTACCTCTTCCCACTTCATCCCTGCAGAGGGCTGAAACAGCCCACCTGGGTGCCCTAGTCACACCCACTCTTCTTTTCACCTGTTTTCCTGTTGTATATATCACCTTTGTTGACAATAAATTATTTTTTTTTATTAAGAGAGTTCCGTCTGGGCCATCATTGGGGAAGGGGTTTGCCAGCAGGATAGTGCCACCTTGAGGGGCAGGAGGGCCGGGAGGAAGTCCTGGTGAGAGCCCGGAAGCCTCCTGGCCCAAAGGGTGGAGAGTAGCACCAGGGCAGGGCAGGGCAGTCCAGGGACTGGGTGTCACCCCACATGACTCCTTACCCCTGCTCTGGAAATGGGCCAGAAGTGCCTCTTTTACGTATCGTACCTTCTAACTCACCTGGGACGCTCTGTCCAAGAGGCCACTGAGGGGCCCATGGGCACTCACATCTGAGGAGCTATGGATTGTCTTGGCCTTTCTAATGAAGCGGTTATGACTGGACTACAGAGGGAGAGTCCTCCCCTCTGCACGCATGAAGGGGAGGTGGGCACATGAGTCCTAAACAGGCCTGTGCTCACTAGCATTTCCACTCTGCACCCTCGCCTGCCAGGCTTTGTCCTGCCCTCTCCTGGGGATAGTGGACCCAGAGCCCTTGCCTGGGTTGTTGCCCATCCCCTGAGCCCAAGCAGGCCCGCCTTGAGTCTCGACCACAGTCCTCACCCTCCAGAACTAAACCATCAGGCCAAATCTGTGGGGTTTTCCCCTTCCTTGAGATGGAGCTCACAGGTAGCTCCCTTTGAACCTGGAACTCCCCTGTCCTATTTAGACTCCAGGAGTGGGTGCAGTAGGTCAGACAGCATTGCTTTACTGCTCCAAGTAAATACCTTCCCCTAAGGAGAGGTGGGGAGCATGAGTGGGGTTCAGAGGGCGATTGTTCTGAAACACCAATGCTCAGCCTGATCTGGAGACTGACCAGAAAGTTCTCTCACTCTGGACAGATCTGGGGATGGGAGCTGCAATGACCCGAGCGTGATGGGGGGACCCTCAAGGACTAGCCATGCACCAAGTCAGCTGTGAGGGACATCAGCCTGTGAGCTCCTGGGACATGGTTCTTTCTCCCCACCTGACAAGCTCAGGTAAAAGAGCCTAAGAAAATGAACAAACAGGGCTCTTGGCAGGGTGAGACAATGGTGAGGTGTGGAGGATGGGCAGCGACTGAGTATGTGGGGTACGTTGCATCTAGGGCATCCCACTGCGTGTGTGTCGACTGGTGGGTCACAGACCTGTGTTTCTGCCATTCCTACAGATTTCATCACAGAAGTAAATAATGCCAGCAGTCTGGCTCTGGGGGCACAGGTATTCATTTCTGCAGGTGAATTCTGTTGGTCTTTTCAATTGTGTGACTGTGTTTACATTTATGCCAACGTGCTTTTACAACAACATGGCTGTGTTGCTGGGTGTTTACTTAAAATCCGTATCTAAAAGTTTCTTGTGAAATTGTGACGCTAAATGCGCCTTTGCTGCTATGATGTGGTTGATGGATTAGCCCACTAGACTGTGAGCTCCTTCTGGGCAGGGACTAGGTTATATTGACTTCGTTTTCCTAGTGCCCTGCAGAGGGGCTGGCACATAGTAGGTGCTCAATAAATGTTTGTCAAGTGCCCTCTTGGTGTGTATTCCTGTGACATTTTCCTAGTCCAAGCTGGTCCCTGCAGTGTCTTTTTCTGCATAGAGTGGATGCCATGGTAACTGAATGGCGTGGTGCTTTGTAGGAATCAGCTCTACATCATGGCCTTGGCCAAGACCTCAGGGCCCATACAAGTGTGTGTGGTCAGGAGCTGTTTGTGGGCGCTGCTGGGCTTCCAGGTAGAGATGAGGAGAATGAGGCTGAGGACATGACTCCAGCCCCAAGTGGAAGGATGTTGGTGACCTTGCACAGGGAGCTGCTCTCCACCTCGCCTTGTCCTTGGAAGCCTCCTAGCCTCAGCCCTGCCTTCCTGGAGCAGCACCAGGGAAGCACCTACACAAATATCAGTGACCCAGGGCTGATGAGGCCCAGTTACTACTTTGATGAAGAAGTGGGGAAGAGGGAGCTGCTGCCTCAACTCCTGAATCACACACTATCCCGACTCTCCAGTAGTCCTTTGCTCTCTCAAGCCCACCACCTCCTGCCCTTCCCAGCTGCCTTCCTTGGGGGTCTTCCTGGGGAGGAGAATCTTTTAGGACACCTAAAAAGGAAAAACTTTGGGGCCAGCAGGTGGCGTAGTGGTTAAGGCACTCCCACATGACTCACATAGTACAAGTCCTGGACCTGGTGGCTTGAAAAACACATCAGGCTTGTGTATGTGTATGCCCAAAATCCTGAAAGGGGAATGGAGAAGGGATTATGGCATGGCTATACCCCCAGGTGGTGATTTCTCGTCTCCCCTCTCTCTGTCTCTCTCCAACAAGCACATGTGCCCTATGGCAAAAAACTAAAAAAAAAAAAAAAAAAAAAAAAAAAATTTCTACACTCACAGCCCTTCTGACACCAAATATGTATAGAAGGGGACAGAGTTGCCACACCAACCAACCAACCTCAATTCTCCAGACACCAACTACCTGTCCTGCAACTCACTTCTTTCTTTTTTTTTTCCTAAGTTTTAGTTATTATTATTACTATTTTAAGTTTGTTATAAAGCATATGTGCTCACCAGAGAGAGTGAGAAGCCACCAGGTCCAGGACTCGAACCATAGTCGACCATGTGGGAGTCCAACATCTTAACCACCATGCCACCTGCTGGCCCCCCTGCAACTCACTTCTAACACTACCTGGAATGTAGACCCCACAGGTTAAGGGCCCAGTCCCACAAGACTACTGGTAGTTTAGTCACCCATCACAAGTCTCAGGTTGTCACCTGTGCATTTGACCCACCAGCCCCAAATTGGGGGTTCCCACAATTCCCTTCTTAGGGTTCACAATTTGCTATAATGGCTTGTAACACTCAGGGTTTGGTGGTTTATTATAAGGAATGCTACAAAGGATATAGATGCACAGCCAGATGACAGGTGCATAGGGCAAGGCTGGGAGGGTTCTGGGCACAAGAGTGTATCCTAGTGGGGCTGGGGGGTTGGGTGGGTACACCACCGTCCTGGTGTGTGGATGCACTCACTGACCCGGAAGCACTCTCAGCCCTGCCATGTAGGGGTTTTTTTTTTTTTAATTATTATTTATTTAATTTAATTTATTCATTCACTTATTTTTTAGTTTGACCAGAGAGAGACAGAAGGTGAAAGTGAGAGAGAGAAGAAGTGAGAAAGGAAGCCACCAGATTCAGGATTTGAACCCTGGTCGGCCACGTGGGAGTGTCCAGCGCCTTAACCACCATGCCACCTGCTGGTCCCCAGCCATGTAGGGTTTTAATGGCGGGTTCATTAGGCACGATCGATTAAATCACTGGATATTGGTGATTAACTCAAGCTCCAGCCCTCTCCCCTCTCCAGAGATCAGGGGTGGGGCTGAAAGTTCCATAGTCGAACCATCATAGTGTGGGTTCCTCTGGCATTCTCCAAGGTTGCATGAACTCAGGTGCAATGGAAAGGAGCTTACTATGAATGATGAAAGAAGCCCCTCTCACCCTACCCCTCAGGTCCCAAGGAGTTCCGCCAAGAACCAGGATGAAGATCTGGTCTGATTATATCACAGAACTGGAAACTGGCTCCTTCCTGTGGGTGGGGCCAGACCCAGGCAAGGGAAACAGCGGGCCCAAGGGGTGGGGAGAACTGTTGCTTGCAGATTTAGCGGCTCTGCAGCGCCCTAGTGTCTTTTCCCCAATTCCCTGGAACCAGATCCCTTGGGCCAGAGCCTTCAGGGTGCTGTTCTCACCTACAGGGACCACCCTCGTTCTCTGGACAACTGCACCAGTCTTCAAAGAAAGGGAGTGGGAGCTTTGGCCTTTGCAGCAATGTCAGAGTCTAGGAGAAGCAGGTGACAGGATCAGGTGACCACGCCACAGGGCTCAGTTCCACAAGCATGGGTGGGGGTCCCCATGGGCAAGCACTGTGTTAGGAAATTGGGGTCTGTGCAGTACACTTATCCTGGTTTCAGCATGGGTCACCCCACAATGTGCCTGTCGTAGGAAACTGAGGCACAGCAAGGCAAACATGGTGATTTGCCCGCCATTCCAGAGCTAGTGAAGGAGCCAAGCCAAGCTGAACCCAGGTCTGCCCAACTACAGCGCCGGAACTCTGTCTGCCGCACTGACGCCTGGCACCATGCCTGTGCTGGCAGTGCTGACTGTAGGGACTCATTGCAGATGTGGAAGGGGGCTCGTTTCACCTGTCCTAGGTAATAGTGTTGGGGAACCACGCTGAGGGCTTGGAAGGTGGCAGGAATCCCCTCCTCACCTATCCCTTTTCTAGAAAATGGCTCCTGGACACTGGGTAGGCCCTGGCCTCATGCTCAACCTCTGACCGTGACTCAGGCTGGTCTGAGTATTTGGGGCTACAAAAGCAACCACTGAAGCAACGAAGTCCACACAAACTGGACCACTACAGGGGCCAGGGCATGGGGCGGGGTGCGTGGGAGAGGCTTTCCTGTCTCAGACCCTGCCCTGGCTCTTCCTCTCTATCCCCCTGACCTGAAGCGAGGCTCTCCTCTTGCCCACTGTGGCAGCCATGTCTACCTGGGTGAGTGGTTTGCCTCTGAGGGTGGGGACCCAAAGACTTGCCCACGCCCTCCAAGGTCAGATTTGTGGTCTAAACAGCTCCACATGTCCTGCAGGGTAAAATCTGGGAGGAAACACACCACAGAGAAGTGCTGCCATTTCTTTTTTCTATTTTTTATCATGGACATTTTCAATCACACCCAAAAGAAAAGAAAAAATAGCATGGGCCAGCAGGTGGCATAGAGGTTAAGGTAGCTGGATCCCACTTGGCCAATTACGTGGTTTGGGTCCTGGACCCAGTGGCTTGAAAATGATGCCAAGCACATGTGCCTGCATGTCTAAATTTCTGAGAAGGGATTGCAGTGTGGCCATCCCCTCTCAGTGGTGCCTTCTCACTGTCCCTCTCTTGCTCTTGGTCTCTGTCTCTCTCCAGCGCCCTCTAGCAAAACTTTTAAAAAATAATAAAAGAGAAAATGGCATAATGAACTCCCATGTATCCATGACCTGGCTTTGACAAAGAGTGCCAATTTTGGTTTATC